AAATTAAAGTTGTATGACACATAGAGCAACCACCAGTAGAAACTTTCAGATAGAAGTATCTGCTCAAATAAGTAAAGCAGCAATTATATAACAACATACGTTGTAGCAGAAAATGCAACCACGAAAAAGCTTTTCAGGACTAGTTAAATAAGAACTCTAAGAGGCATATACACTTTAACAGACAAATAATGAACTGACATGTGGCACTAAGGACATGTTATGTGTCCATGTTGACAAAATGGAAGTACTGAAAAGAAATCTGGACATCAACATAGTAAGATGGACCAAAAGTCCTAAATTGAAGAGAAGAAGAAAAACATTGCTTCAATATAAACCTTAGCAGAGTACGTCCATAAGATGTCCTCATAATATGTCATAAGATGTCAAAAATGAAAAGACGCCTTGCAAAAAAATAAATACTACTGGCCTCACTTCCGATGGTACCTCATGGGATGTGATTTCACTAAAATTTAATGCGGAATACTAGGTTCTGCTAGTAGAAGATAAGATACTGCTTCAAGGGATTAAATATTGATGGCAGAATATGAGCTAACTCTTGAAGAGGACTACTATCCGTGTCAAAAGTCAAGGCATTCACTTTAGAGATCGATATCTTCGCAACCGCTCGCGGTAAAAAGAAAAGCGCGGATCCGAAAATGTTCAAATTAACATACGTTACGTAGAAATGTTCAGTGATTACAACGAACTTTGCCACATTTATGTTTATAGAGCGATTGCAAAGATATCGACCTCTAAAGTGAGGGGCCTTGACTTTTGGCACTGATAGTAGATATACCTTCCAAATGACTAGATTCTCCTTACAGAGGATTAGATATGGTTGGCGCAAGACTACACCTTCCTTACAGTGGATTAAGGATTGCTGGTGCCAGTTCTGGTACTATTTTCGGTGATGTGATGCCACTAAAATTTAATGAAGATTATTAAGTTTTGTTGGCAGTAGACTATATAGAGTTGGTATAACATAAGACATTGTTTCTAGTGATTTGATAGTGATGGAAGGAAATTAGCTACTTCTTGAAGAGGACTAGCTTCTCTTTGCAGATTACTAGATATTGCTTACAGATAACTAGATATTGCTAACAGAATATTAAATCTTCCTTATTAGATGATGCGATATCACTAATGCAATTTAATGCAAAATACTAGTTTCTGCTGGTAAAAGACTAGATACTGCTAGTAGAAAACTAGATTGTGTTAACAAAACACTAAAAACTGGTTGCAGATGACTAGATATTGCATGTAGAGGGCTAGTTACTGCTGGCAGAAGCTTAAATTTCTGTTTCAGACTACTAGACACTGCTAATACCTACTTTGATACCACTTTCGATGATATAATTTCAGTAAAATTTCCCTATTAAAAAATACTAGATACTGCGAGCAGAAGGTTAGGTACTGGTTGTGGATGACTAGATACTGATGGCAAAAAATTAGATAGTTCTCCCAGCTGATTAGATACCGCTAACAAAAGTCTAGACACTGTTAGTAGAAAAGTAGACACTGCTTGCTGAAGACTAAATACTGTTGGTAGAAGACTAAACCTTTGTTATAGAAGACTAAACATGCTTGTACCATTTCTGGTGCTACATTTTTAGGGAAAACCCACTGCAAATGCACTACAAAATCTTTTGGTTTTTAACAAATTTTTTGGTTGCAAAAAAATCTTCGTTTTCTATCTTTCCAGGCAAATTTCATTAAACACGTCACTAATTGGGGTTCCGGGTAAAGATTTCATCTGTTGCAGAAAAAAATTTAAGACAAAACACTAGTTTTTGGTGGTAAAAGACTAGATGCAGCTAGTGGAAAACTAGATTGTGTGGGCAGAACACTAAAAACTGCTTGTAGAGGAGTTCACTGTTTCAGACTACTAAACACCACTAGTACCACTTTTGATACCACTTTCGATGATATGATTTCAGTAAAATTTAATATCTATTAATTTATTATATACGTTGGTGGTCCATATTAAAAAATACTAGTTTCTGGTGGTAAAATGTTGCCGGGATACTAAATAGTGCTACCAGAAGATTAGATACTGCTTGCAGATGACTAGATATTGATGGAAGAAAATTAGATACTGTTAGTAAAAAAATAGACACTGCTTGCTGAAGACTAAATTCTGCTGGTAGAAGACTAAATCTTTGTTATAGAAGACTAAACATGCTTGTACCATTTCTGGTACTACTTCTAGGGAAAATCCGCTGCAAATGCACTACAAAATGTACTCTCCGGAAATGTTCGGCTTTGCGGTCGATTTTGGTTGCAAAAAAGTCTTCGTTTTCTATCTTTGCAAACAAATTTCGTATGATGTTTTTCGCTTCTCCATGTGCCGTTCCGTCAGTTGATATGAAATCCATATTCCTTTTTTGGATTTTCCCCATTTAATGTAATCGGATTGAAATTACTTGTCGAGTAATGTTGGTGTGTCGGCTATCTGCTCTTGCGTCTTATTGGACAGTTTTTAGGAATTTCTAACAGCTTTTCTATCCTACCAAATACTCGGTTGATTGGCTCGAAGCTGTGCCTCCCAACTAGAAATATTAACTCCATCGCAGCTGTACGTTGTAAAACTTAATTTTTAATCAGTACATCAAATTTGGACTACATGACTATTGTTGTTTTGACTGGAGCACAAAATAGACGGCAATAAAAAAACTGTATCACCTAGCGTATCCAACAATGCTTATCTTAGTTCTGTTGACCTTGTTCCTATTATATCTTTAGTCCAAACAAAAATATTGGAATTCTGCAATCCGTTGTGACACAGTCAAAATTATATAAATTTATGTAGTGTACATAAAACCCGTCACTAATTGGGGTTCTGGGTAAAGATTTCATCTGTTGTAAAAAAAATTTACTAGATACAGCTGGTGGAAAACTAGATTGTGTTGGCAGAACACTAAAAATTGCTAGCAGGTGATTAGATATTACATGTAGAGGACTTCAGTGTTTCAGACTACTAAACACCGCTAGTACCACTTTTGATACCACTTCCGATGATATGATTTCAATAAAATTGAATATCTATTAATTTATTATATACGTTGATGGTCCACATTAAAAAATACTAGCTTCTGGTGGTAAAATGTTGCTAGAATACTAGATAGTGCTACCAGAAGATTAGATACTGCTTGCAGATGTCTAGATATTGATGGCAGAAAACATTTGATACCACTTCCGATGATATGATTTCAATAAAATTGAATATCTATTAATTTATTATATACGTTGATGGTCCACATTAAAAAATACTAGCTTCTGGTGGTAAAATGTTGCTAGAATACTAGATAGTGCTACCAGAAGATTAGATACTGCTTGCAGATGTCTAGATATTGATGGCAGAAAACATTTGATACCACTTCCGATGATATGATTTCAATAAAATTGAATATCTATTAATTTATTATATACGTTGGTGGTCCATATTAAAAAATACTAGCTTCTGGTGGTAAAATGTTGCTAGAATACTAGATAGTGCTACCAGAATATTAGGTACTGCTTGCAGATGACTAGATATTGATGGCAGAAAACTAGATACTGTTAATAAAAAAGTAGACAGTGCTTGCTGAAGACTAAATTCTGCTGGTACAAGACTTTGCGGTCGATTTTGGTTGCAAAAAGTCTTCATTTTCTATCTTTCCAAGCAAATTTCGTATGATTCCGCTTCTCCATGTGCAATCCATATTCCTTTTTTGGATTTTACAAATTTAATCTAATAGGACTGAAATTACTTGTCGATTAATGTTAGTTTGTCGGCTATCTGCGCCTCTTAACTAGAAATATTAGCTCCATCTGAGCTATGCGTTGTAAAACTTAATTTTTAACAAGTATATCAAGTTTGGACTACATGAATATTGTTGTTTTGACTGGAGCACAAAATAGGCGACAATGAAAAAACTGTATTACCTAGCGTATCCAACAATGCTCATCTTAGTTCTGTTGACCTTCCTACAATATCTTTAGTCCAAACATAAAATATTGGGATTCGAGAATCCATCGTGACACAATTAAAATTGTATAAGTGTACATAAAACCCATCACTAATTGGGGTTCTGGTTAAACATTTCATCTGTTGTAGATCAAAGTTCTATTCCGGCAGAGTTCGCCAATGGGAATAAGTGTCCTGATGATCAGAGCTGTTGTAAGAGTACTCCACATCTTGCTTTGACTCGTATAAGCACTTGAAAGTACCAAGCCTCTTTAACTATAAAGGATAATTGCATAATTTCATGCGCTTGCGTGAATTCACGATTAAATCAATCTTAAATGCAATAATTTTTAATATTTAAATAAAAGTGTAATTTTTATTACATACGACAGTTTATCACATGCAGTAAATTCAATTGGCAACAATATATTGTATACATGAAACGCAATGGTCTGTAAGTAAACGGTCTCTCGAATTGACTGATGGTCATATGGTCTTGTTTGATGTCCCCATTTTCGTCGTCACTGCCATCATCAGCGATATCCCTCACCGTACAAATAACACATTCCCACGCCCAATCTGTAATTTCGAAACCCGTCAATCAATCGTGAGATAGTCGGAATGTGATTGAGTGAATCTCTCTTGAAATTGAACTACTCGATAATGAGCAACGAACGAGCCACAGAGAAAGCGAATCGAAACTCGGTTAGGTACCATTTGAAATGTACGGGGAGTTTGGGTAGGAGGTGGTTAGGTGGTGGTAGGAGGGCGCGTTTGAGAGACTATCTATAACACGCAATTCCAATTTAAACCTTGTTTACTACGGCGAGGTCAAATCGCTGAAAACTTATTCGTCGACCTTTTCTCAAAAAGTTTTGTCAAACTGAACACGTTCGTATACTTTTTAGGTGTTGTTAACCTAAATTCATTTGTTTTCGTGGTACATAACAGCGTACGGTTTTCTTTTGAGTCACAAATCACGTTTCTACATTGAGTTATTCAATTTCGTTAGAGAATTTTAAATAATTTATGTAATTTTTTTTTTTATTTCTAGATGAAGTGGTTGGTGTTATTCGTCATGACGATTTTCTTCGTCAGCTTTGCGGTTGCAGATGGTGAAATCTGGGAAGAAGATGATCACGAGATTCTTATTCGAAACGAAAGGGGAGCCAAAAATACTGGTAAGAGTAAGTGATCATACATTTTTTTTTATTTCTTTTATTTTTATCATCAAATTCTTTTTATTTGTTGTTTTGGTACTTTTTCATTTGAGATATTTTAGTCTTTTGTATGATACATGTGGCGTTTGGGTCATTAATTAAATGATTCTACCGGAGCCGAACAAATATGCAAATTGGAAAGGTAAACGCTTTAGGGCGGTGGGGTCGAGAGAAATCCGAACTATGGAAAATGGGAATTTCGTTGATGAAAGCGCGAACAATATTAATAAAACAAATTCTCTCTAGCGCGAAGGGCGGTGGCGATGGCAGCAGCATTCTATCGTATTTGCCGCGCGCCCTCTGGCAGAGGCATCAGTAAAATAATAACACGGGTACAATCTATGAATGTTTTACGAATAATTATTATTTTGGGGGGTTGGGAATATTCGGTTTATCTGGGACAGACATTGGAAATTGCTTATCGATTTTAGCTTTTGTAATAGGATGAACAAATACTTTTTTAAGGTGTTATCTGGAAACAAAAAAAAAATTATTAAACATGGAGTTATCTTTAATGATCACTAATTTTGTAGAAAAGTTTAGTCTGTGTTTGCAAATCGAGAAACTGGTTACTACGATATCATATACAAACAATTCCTCTAAATCTTGGCTTTCAGCTCACTACACAGCATAACTACTATTTGGTTTGAGCAAGTTTACTACCAGAAACTGTAACGATAAGCAGCTTTGGGTCAACATACGATATTACAGGGATTAATCACGTCTACTTAATGCGAGACAAAGTCAGAACTGTCGTATCTGGGAATAAAGGAGAAGATGAGAAACGATGAACAAGTAGCGCAAAAGTGTTTGTGTCAAACCTCAAATGACTCATTTACATGGTCAAACAGAGAATTAGGTGATGTGTCGAGGAAAAGACTTCGCCTATTGTAGATAAGTATTTTAGACACGTTGAAAGAGGTTTATTGATGTTTTTGTGCAACATGAATGGGTGTTTTTGAAGAAAATGATGACTATATCAAAGACAAAGAAATAGTAGAGCATATTTATGCAACAATTTTAGTGGCAGTCATATTAGATACTAGAAATTTTATTATCAAGAATTGCATGGTTACCTTCAGTGAGTGCCTGTTCTAAGAGCCAGTACTATTCCACATCTTGCTTCAATAGTGATGATATTGAAAGCTTCACCTCTTCCATCTGGTTCATATATCTAGTCTTGAGCCATCCTCTAAGTCTTTCTTTGATCGCCGCCTACTTAGTCCATCGCAAGCAGCCGATTGTTTATAAATTTGAGGATATATTCAAAATTACGAATATCTGTCGTAGGATCTTTCTTCCGACTGTTGCTACCTGTTGCTATCTTTTGTCGTTTTTTGGACATTATCCGGGTTTCGAATCCCTACCTTAGAACTAGGAACATTAAGGTTTTATGTATTTGACATTTTGTTTTTCTTGTCAAAGTGACACATGTTAATTGGGTCATTAGACCTTAGTAAGGTTTGTTTGCTAGAAATGCAGAAATCAGCCCAGGTATACAAATCGCTCTAGACTTTCGATGTTATTCTTTTCTATGGCCAAGTTTTGCAAATATCTTCTCGATAGGTTTGCATATAGTTTTCGTTTTATTTGACAAATCGTCTGCAAAAGTCAGTATTTTTAAGCTTTTTTCGATAATTGTGCCTCTCGTGTTGATATCCATATCATCATTACTTATTCTGAATCTTGATGTTGTTTCTTATCGATGTTAAATTCTTTCCTCCTTTATACTCTGTACTCCTTCTCCGTTTCTTTGTTTCTACACTAATGCAGTTTACTATTGGCTTCTTTCATTCCGTCACTCTTCGTCATGCCAATTCATTGGACTGCTCACTGGTTTCTTTCAAATCCTTCTTTCTTCTCTTCAAATTTCTATTATATGGCTCACCATCAGGTAGTGGTTAGCTGTTGGCACCTGGCTTACTTTTAACCTATACTATGTCAGATTTGGTGTTTTGCACGTGGTCATCTAGGGATACCCACGTTCCTTTATTTTTTGCGCTCAAACCATATGCTTAAAATGTCCATATTATGGAAGACTGTCAGTTTTATTACTTTAGTGCCATTGTTATTGAATTCATTGGGTAGGTTGTTTATGGCCTGCACAATATGAACATGTGTGTATATAAGACTTTAATTAAAAAATCGTCCATTAAGCCTCCTCGTGCATAAATACCTTGAAATCTTTTCAGTCGTTTTATTCTATTGTTTATAAAAAAGCCAGTGCCCAGTGTGCGTTTAAGTGAGCTACAGCTATAAAAAATTATATGACTTCCCTTCTTAAGCGTTCAAGATACCCATTAATCTTATATCTTGTATTGCGATGACATCAAGTGCATATTTGTCAGATTCTCTTAATGATAGTCCGGTTTTCTGTCTTTGAACTTTCGTGACTCGTCTTCTTTTTCCAGTGGTAGGTAGTTGGAAAAAAAAATGGGTAATAGTTGGTACAAAATCATTTATGGATATTATTTTTAGGTCTTATAATGAACAATTTTTATCAACATCAATTCACCCAACAATTTTAATTTTGACGTTATAAACCTCTTTGTTGTTATAATTATCAAATTTGAACTATTTGGGATTTTAAGTCTGCTTGGTTCCGAGTTATAATATCTTATGAATTACGTTTTATTGATACATTGTAAACAATTTTCATCAACAACATATTCTTCTAACATTTTTAATTCTCGAGTTATTTCTGTCCAAAAAAGTCAAATTTGAATAAAATTATTTTTACACAAGTTTTTATAAATTATTTTGAACAATGTTACTAAATATTTTTATAATTCCCGTCCAACGTTTTCTTTTTTTACATTTTGACGTTTTTGTTGTTATATTCGTTAAACTTGAAATGTTTGGGAGATTAAATCCACTTCGTCGAAAATAATCATAAATGAGTCGAAACATCCACCGTGGATTATGTTTTGCAAATTCTGTATAAACATTTTTTATTCATAATATTTTCTCTTAACGTTTTTAGATTTCGTTTTAGATTTAAATAAACATCATTATCCAAAAACGTGATTTTAGAGATTTTGTAGAGTATAACTAAAAAAGCAAGATATTTGGAACAAAATCGTTTTTGGATTATGTTTTTGTGATTAATTATGAACAATTTTTATTAATATCAATCTCACCCACAATTTTTAATTTTTGAGTTAAAAGCTATTTTGTTGCTAAATGCATCAAATTGAAACATTTGGGATTTTAATTTGCTAAATTGATAATAATCATAATTGGATTATAATTACTTGTAAATAACGTTTTATTGATTAATTGCAAGTAATTTTCATCCGCTATATCATTCGTTAACATTTTTACTTTCCGAGATATAATAAGAAATTGTATCCAAAAATGTCAATTTAGAGATTTTAAGATTTTTAGGTTTATAATTAAAAATACAGAATGGTTAGAAAGAAAGCTTTTGTGGATTATGTTTTTGTGATTAATTATGAACAATTTTTGTTAATATCAATCTCACCCACAATGTTTAATTTCTGAATTAAAAGCTATTTTGTTGCTAAGTGCGTCAATTTTAATCCATTTGGGATTTTAACCTGCTAAATTGGTAGTAATCATAATTGGATTATAATTACTTGTAAATAACGTTTTATTGATCAATTGCAAGTAATTTTCATCCGCTATATCATTCGTTAACATTTTTACTTTCCGAGATATAATAAGAAATGGTATCCAAAAATGTCAATTTAGAGATTTTAAGATTTTTAGGTTTATAATTAAAAATACAGGGTGGTTAGAAAGAAATCGTTTGTGGATGATGTTTTTGTGATTTATTACGAACAATTTTTATTAACATCAATTTCACCCACAATTTTTAATTTCTGAGTTAAAAGCTTTTTTGTTGCTAAATGCGTCAAATTTGAACCATTTGGGATTTTAATATGCTAAATTGGTAATAATCATAATTGGATTATAACTACTTATAAATAACGTTTTATTGATTCATTGCAAGTAATTTTGATCCGCTATATCATCCGCTAAGATTTTTAGTTTCCGAGATATAATAAAAAATGATATCCAAAAATGTCAATTTAGAGATTTTAAGATTTTATAGATTATAGCTAAAAAAACAAGATAGTTGGAACAAAATCGTTTTTGGATTATGTTTTTGTGATTTATTATGAACAATTTTTATTAATATCAATCTCACCCACAATTTTTAATTTCTAAGTTAAAAGCTATTTTATTGCTAATTGCGTCAAATTTGCATATGGGATTAAAATCTGCTACATTGGTAATAATAATAATTGGATTATAATTGCTTGTAAATATTGTTTTATTGATTCATTACAAATAATTTTCATCAACAATATTATCCCCTCCCATTTTTGGGTTTCGAGTTATAACAAAAAATTTTATCCAAGAATATCATTTCAGAGGCTTTAAGATTTTATGGTTTATAACTAAAAATGTAAGTTGTTTCGAAAGAAATCGTTTATGGATTATGTTGTTGTGGTTAATTACGAACAATTTTTATTAATGTCATTCTCCTCCACAACTTTTAAATTTTGAGTTAAAAACTATTTCGTTGTTAAATGCTTCGAATTTGAAATATTTGGGATTTTAAATCTGTTAGGTTGGTAATAATAATAATTGGATTAAAATCACTTGTAAATATTGTTTTATTGATTCATTGCAAATAATTTTCATTGACAATATTATCCCCTCTCATTTTTAGTTCTCGAGTTATAACAAAAAATTGTATCCAAAAATATCATTTTAGAGACTTTAAGATTTTATGGTTTATAACTAAAAATGTAAGTTGTTTGGAAAGAAATCGTTTATGGATTATGTTGTTGTGATTAATTACGAACAATTTTTATTAATGTCATTCTCCTCCACAACTTTTAAATTTTGAGTTAAAAACTATTTCGTTGTTAAATGCTTCAAATTTGAAATATTTGGGATTTTAAATCTGTTAGGTTGGTAATAATAATAATTGGATTAAAATCACTTGTAAATATTGTTTTATTGATTCATTGCAAATAATTTTCATCAACAATGTTATCCTCTCTCATTTTTGTGTTTCGAGTTAAAAACTATTTCGTTGTTAAATGCTTCAAATTTGAAATATTTGGGATTTTAAATTTGCTAGGTTTTTAATAATAATAATTGAATTAAAATCACTTGTAAATATCGTTTTATTGATTCATTGCAAATAATTTTCATTGACAATATTATCCCCTCTCATTTTTGGTTCTCGAGTTATAACAAAAAATTGTGTCCAAAAATATCATTTTAGAGACTTTAAGACTTTATGGTTTATAACTAAAAATGTAAGTTGTTTGGAAAGAAATCGTTTATGGATTATGTTGTTGTGATTAATTACGAACAATTTTTATTAGTCATTCTCATCAACAATGTTTAATTTTTGAGTTAAAAGCAATTCACTTGTTAAATGCGTCAAATTTGACTTATTTTGGATTTTTAATCAACTATGTTTTTAATAATCATAATTGGAGTATAATCACTCTCAATTCTTTAATCTCAATGTTGGTGTTATAATCTGAAGTACGTTATAGATTTTGTGAGTAGTCGATTTATTGTTCGGGTGAGAATGTGTTGATGTCCAATTTCCTACCCTTTCGATGGCGGTGCCATCTCGTTAACTGCGAATGTGACATCCATTGTGAACAAGCACCACCGTGGAGCCCATTGTTCTTCGCCAATTCCAATCTCACACAGTTCTCTCATTACGTCCTTTGTTTCTAAAGCGATCTCAATAATTGCAACAACGACCTCGAAGCTCTTTAAATCTTCTACCTAAAACTGATCGATAAATCCAACCCAGCCCGATAATAATAATTGGAATTTCTTGCATGTTGAGAAACCGTTACTGTTTCTTTGCACAGAAATTTCGTGTACCGGAAGGAAATAAAAACACGATTGTTGTTATTTTTTTTTCATTACGATATCCTCACACCTTACCTGTTTGTATTGCCTCGTAGAATTTTAATAGAAAAATTTACATCAGCACACAGCAGCGACGATGGCGAGAAGCGCGAAGTACTATTTTGCGTGCTTGAATATTAAATGCAATTGCAGGATGCAAAGAAAAAAAAAAGAGAAAAGGGTCACACTTTTCTCTTTCCTCCTTGTAATTTATTACTTTTTAATTACACCCACTGCGTATTAAAACCAGAAATAACGAACTAAAGTTTCTTTGTTTTGTGAAATTCGCAAAATCATTTCGAAAAATCATTTCAGCTTTTAGTATACAACGAGAATGAAATAAAATAGAAAGATATTAAATGATTCTGCAAATCACGGAATTCTCGACGAACCAAGCTCTGTAAGAGTTCGTTATAAATTTTTTTAGCCATCCCATGCGCATATTTCCGCATTTTTTTTTGTAGGAGAGCTTTCCACATCGAATTTTAATACAGAGAGCGTTAGACGGTTAATGCGGCGTTCTATATGCAAATTCCTCCCTTCTATGGCGCCGAAAAAATGTCGCCTGTAACCGTTAACGCAATTGAGGCTTTTTGAAGAAATAAATTAATTGAGAAAAAATTTACCCCATTTGTTTATAACACAATTTAAGTGTGGCAAAATTTTCGTAGTAACTCCACCTCGAAACATATAGAAAATATCCAGATGTACAACTTCCAGAGGGCGAACTGAGTAAAATTGAAAGAAAACTCGAGTGAGAAACGACACCATCATATATCTTCGCAGAAAATGGTAGAATGCGGGTAGGTAAACGATCACTTAGAATTGAATATCTTTATGGGACTATCTTGGTAATATCAGTAATAGACAGCTGTCGATATGAAAAGATCTTTTTAGATCGAAAAGTCGTTATAAGGTGCTATATTTCGTTTCCATTCATATTTTACGTTCAATTTCTTTTTTGGAAAAACGTTCAAAAACGATCTCGTTATTTAAATGGTTTTCCTCGGTGATGGAATTCTAGGTATTCGTAATTAATGCTTGAAACATAAAACAATCAATATAACTCAAATTAATTTGGCAACTTTGAGCAATACAGATGATTGTGTCAATACAAAATAGACATCACGGCGATTTTTTTAATTAAACAACATCGTATCTCAAAAACGAATTATGATATCAAAATGAAATAAAAACCATTTTAACGCAAAATTAATGATTAATTAAGGTGTTGAAAATCATTTCATTATTTCCATTAATATTGATGTGGTGATTTTTTAAATTCATCTCTGTATGATTACTTATGATTAATAATACTAATATTGAAAAAATCATATCTCAAAAAGTAATTGGGATATCAAGCTTATTTAAATGCCACTTTATAGCCAATTTGATCCAGATTCAATACAACAAAGATAATTCCTTCGTTCCTATAAATCTCGGATATATGACTTTTTCAATTAAACGCTGCGATGCATTTATTTTATTAAGTTGATAAAAATGCAATTTACAACATCGTATCTCAAGAACGATTGATGATATGCTAATGAAACAAAAATCATTTTAATGCAAATTTAATAAGCATTCAATGTGTTGAACATAATTAAATTATTCCTATAAGTTTTGACGTGGCGATTTTTTATATTTATCTTTACCCTTCTGTTTGTAACAGGTTATGATTATTAATACCAATTTTGAAAACATCATATCTCAGAAAATAATTGGGATATCACCATGATTTTGTTATCACTTTATAGCCAATTTAATCTACTTTTATCATACCAAAGATAATTCCTTCGTTTCCATAAAGTTCGAAGATACAATTGTTTTTAACTAAACCGTGGAATTATTGAGGTTAAGTTGATAAAAATGCAATTAATAACATCGTATCTCAAGAACGAATTAAGATATCTTAATGAAACAAAAATCATTTTAAAGCAAGTTTAATAACCATTCAACGTGTAGAATATTATTAAATTATTTTTATAAGTTTTGACATGACGGTATTTTATATTCATCTCTGCATATCCACTTTGGACAGGCTATGAGTGTTAAAACTAATATTAAAGGAATCATATCTCAGAAAGTAATTGGAATATCAAGATGATTTTATTACCATTTTAGAGCCAATTTAATCTAGTTTCAATACACCAAAAATAAATCTTTTGCTTGTATAAACCTCGGTGATACGATTTTTTTAATTAAACTCTGTAATAGGGGTTAAGATGATAAAAATGCAATTTATAAGATCGTATCTCAAGAACGAATTAAGATATCTTAATGAAACAAAAACCATTTTAAAGCAAATTTAATAAGCATTCAATGTGTATAATATCATTAAGTTATTTCTATAAGTTTTGACGTGGCGATATTTTATATTCATCTCTGTATATCCACCTTGGACAGACTATGAGTGTTAAAACTAATATGAAAGGAATGATATCTCAGAAAGTAATTGGGATATCAAGATTATTTTATTACCATTTTAGAGCCAATTTAATCTAGTTTCAATGCACCAAAGATAATTCTTTCGTTTCTATAAATCTCGAAGATACGATTTTTTTAATTAAACGTTGCGATTATTCAGGTTAAGTTGATAAAAATGTTATTTAGAACATCGTATCTCAAGAATGAATTAAGATATCTTAATGAAACAAAAACCACAACAAAGCAAATTTAATAAACATTCAATGTGTATAATATCATTAAATTATTTCTATAAGTTTTGACGTGACGGTATTTTATATTCATCTCTGCATATCTACTTTTGACAGGCTATGATTGTTAATACTAATTTTAAAGGAATGATATCTCTGAAAGTAATTGGGATATCAAGATCATTTTATTACCATTTTACAGCCAATTTAATCTAGTTTCAATGCACCAAAGATAATTCTTTCGTTCCTATAAATCTCGAAGATATGATTTTTTAAATTAACGTTGCGATTATTGAGGTTAAGTTGATAAAAATATTATTTAGAACATCGTATCTCTTTTGAGCCTGTCAAAAGTAGATATGCAGAGATGAATATAAAATATCGCCACGTCAAAACTTATAGAACTAATTTAATGATATTCAACACATTGAATGCTTATTAAATTTGCATTAAAATAGTTTTTCTTTTATTAAGATATCTTAATTCGTTCTTGAGAAAACCTCTATATTACAGATTTTAATTAAAAAAAATCGTATCGCCGAGATTTATAGAAACGAATGAAGCCGTACCATTAGAACTGTCTTATTTGGACTGCGTCGAATATCGTTGTTTGTGGATCTAGTTTAGCCTTGCTAGTTGCTCTTCTCCAGAAATCCATTTCAACTACCAGCAGCCGGTTCTCTATTTGTTTATTTAATTGCTAGGTTTCGCATCCGTACGGGTATGAAGATAGTGGAATATAGTTCTTATCTTCATTTTTTGAGATCTTTGTTGACCAACAAAGGGAGTTTATGGGTTTTGTTATGTTTTTACCCCGTTGTAGTCGGGTTCGTATTTCTGCTTCACATTTTCCACTGTGGTCCATCTTAGTTCCAAGGTAAGTGCACTCTTCGCATCCTTCAATTAAAGTATTATCGTTTAACACCAGATCTTTTGCTTCGCCACGCAAAGATGTTGTGTTTTTTTGGCTACATTCTTAACCAAGCCCATATTGCCATATATTCAAGGTCTTCTTCGCCCAGGGCTACACTACCACAAGGTCGTCAGCAAAATGTAGGTTGTACAGCGTTGTTTGCTCATCAAGTTCTACGCACATATATGTTGAATACTAGAGGTGACATCCTTCTCTCTTATCTTTATTAATTATTTTAAGTTATAAAATATTCAGATCATGTTTTGATTTGATCACAAATAAATTTTAGTTGAAATCAAAGGGTATATACTGTAATAATTTTAACATTCTCTTAGTTCACCGAGAGAACATAACCTAGAATTTGTGACAGAGAGATTTTTTGTTGGTGAAATCTTATCTTAAACCGTTTTGTTTACTTCCAAATGTATCAATTATTATAGTTCAGCTCCTAAAGCACATTTTTCATCCATCTTTTGAGGTTTTAACGTTATTTTGAGAAAGAAATCCTTGATTTAAATTTGAATTTTTCTAACTTTACTCATTGTTGAAATTTGGCGTGTACTCCAATGTATGTCTAAAAACAAGAAAAGACAACGTTGAATACGAAGTTTTATTACGTTTCATAAGAGAAATCAACGAAAAAAGAATTAAATTTTGAAGGTTAATTCCGAGAAAAATCAAGAGATGACGCTAGTTTCGAAGCAAGAATTTTGAATTTTGAAAAGGGCGCGAAGCTAAGAGCCAATCAGAAACGAGGAAAAAACAGTTGGAGTGCCGGGGTATATAAGGAGATCGCGAACAGGGAGTGAGAGAGTCAGAGAGAGAGTCGTCGTCGGAGCAGCGTCGAATCCACGTCGTCAGATAGAAGAATTTTTGAAGAGATAACCTCGAAAATTTAAGATAATTTTTTTGAAAAAAAAGTCAAACCAACTTACAATATTAAAATAAAAAGAGAATCATCCTACAACCTATTCCGAGAATTACCGATACTTCTTCGAGATCATCCAAGACCCTATTTCCGAAGAACAAACAGTGCAATTACCCGTAAGAAGAATCCTGTAGACAATCCAGAAAATTAGTTAGTGCCCTGAACACAAGGGACAATTCCATAATCCAGATACCACATTGAACTCCAATCCTTTCCTTTATACAGTGAGTCGGATGATAATTTTATTTTATTATTTAACATAACCTACAAAAAGAAAATTCAAAGAATCAAACTCAAAGAACAACTCACAAGAGTTTCCTATAATTTTGATCAATACTTACTTGTGTGTAAAGATTTATTAGTTGTTCTTGAATAATGTTCATTTATTTAATTCTATTTTTTTTTAACGAGTTTGATGACCACTTAAGACATCGGCCATTTGTTATTTTCAAAGAACGGTTCTAACTAGTTTTATCCTACTCTCTCTCTCTCAAATAATAAACGGGTTCTCTCTAATATCGATATTTCAGTCGATAACCGCCGTTATCTATTTTATTTTAAAAATTTATCTCTCGTAAATAAGCATTGTTATTAAAGTTAATTTAGGAATACCATTTTTTTTGTTGTTACTCATAAAACGAGTTAATTTGATTTTGTATTAATTAAATGAATTTTTTGTCGAACCTGATTAATATTCTTTTGAACCTGAACTTGCCCGAAACCCTGAGTTTTTAATAAGAGTCTCTTAAAATTAAAGAAACCCAAATTTTTAGATTAATAACTTGTGTATAAAACATCACACAAGTAATACAGCACAATACAGAGAGATATAAGATTTATCTCATCGACGTATAATTTCTTACAAGCAATCCCATCATATTCTATAATAATTAGATCAAAGGGATAGAATTTGTGATTGAGTGTCGCAGTACATCTCCCTAATAATTACAGTGATGGGTGGTTGGGGTGCGTTTGCGGTTTAGACTGTATGCCATGTAACAGACACTCCTGCATAATTTGAAATACACACGCTACAAAACGAATATCGTATCTATCGAATCTCGTACCCTTCAGAGAGGGATATCACATTTTGTGAATTTTAAACGACAACAAACAAACCGACAAACAAGCAAACGAGCTTCAAATTGTCGACTAACAAAGCCAATTATTTCGAATCGATGTTTTATATCTGTGCAATACACGGAATGTTTTAACGCAATTAAATTTTGTATTCATAAATAATTCGCTTTCGTGTTAATTATAATTAATAATTATTTAATCGTATATTTTATTCATTTAACGTTACGTGACTTTCAAAAAATTACCTCTCGTTCTTTATGCCGTAAAAATGATCGTCTTATCGCAAGAGTTTGCGGGGTCGAGGTACTATTAATTGACGCTCAAAGCGACGGTATGAAAGTTTGGATGAATGGTCCACATTACCTTTATAAATCGCCTGCTAAAATTGGCACAAGTTCCGCTTAGAGATTTCAGAGTTCAAACGAAAAAGAGAAATAATTCGACTAAGTAACGATACTGAAAAGAAAGAAATAAATAAACTCCTAATTGGCTAATTTCGAGTACTATTTAGTAAAAACAAATTGAAAACGACGACTCCAAACGGAAAATAAGATAAATAGGGGTTCGTTCCCATCCCGTTCTTTGTCTGTTCTGCTTAGGGATTTGTCTCTCAATAGATCACAATCCGGGAGGGTAAACAGCAATGCCTCTTTTCGGATTTTGTGCTTTTCAACTTTGAACCCAGTAACAATACGATCGATTTTAACCATTTCGACTATCCGATTTCAAAAGATTTAACGTGTTTACCTAAGCAAATTTCATGATTTATTTTACTAAAATGCGAATAATAATAAAGATAATTAATTAAAAGATCTGTTGTTAAGGTTCGTTTTCCTCCATCTAAGGTAATTTTGAAATTTAATTAACCCGGACAAACACGACGGACGGTTTTTAATAGATTTTCCAGACAATTCCTATAGTAGAGTGGAAAATTGATTCACTGTGGTCATTTTGGACGGAGATTGCACGGAAAACTGGAGATTAGCAGGGGAAGAAAACGAACGCAAAGCGTTGTAGGTGCATCGATCGTTATAATAAATTCCAAGTACATAGACTCCTTTACCATCTCAGAACCCCCGAAGCTGTCTAATAACGTTCGTCCCCACTTTAATTACGTGCTAAGCTCATCGTTGATGTTGGTAATTTACGGGAAAACCTGTCGCCCTACCATGCTTAACGACGTATTTATTAAAGATATTAAAGCTATGAAATCTTTTTTCTCGAGATGACTTTTATTTAATTCAAGTTGTATACACGCAATTTTAATTCGCTCAATATCAATTCAATTCACTCAAGAATTCGTAACCCGTAATTAATTAACTTGGGGAGGATGTTTTGTCTCGACGCAGTCACCTGTATTGCTCAAACCTGTGGAATTAACGCGAGTGGAATGTCTATAAGTCACCTTCCATCATTTCATTGAATTAAGCACTAATTACGAATGCCTAAGATTCCACCACCGAGCAAAGTCATTTAAATAACGTCGTCGTTTTTGAACGTTCTACCAACAATAGAATTTGAAAGAAAAACATAAATTTGCAGAGTTTAATTAAAAAAATCGTATTGCCCAGATTTATGGGAACAAAGGAATTATTTTTGGTGCATTGAAAATGGATTAAATTTGCTATTAAGTGATAATAAAATGATCTTGATATCCTAATTACTTTTTGAGATATAAATGTGTTGAATATCATTAAGTTGTTTTTATAAATTTTGAAGTGGTGATTTTTTATATTCATCTCTGCATATTTACTTTTGACAGGCTATGAATGTTAATACTAATTTTTAAAGTATGATATCTCAGAAAGTAATTGGGATATCAAGATCATTTTATTACCATTTTTGAGCCAATTTAATCTAGTTTCAACACACCAAAAATAAATCTTTCGTTTATATAAACTTCGGTGATACGATTTTTTTAATTAAACTCTGTAGTTATAGAGGTTAAGTTGATAAATATGCAGTTTACAACATCGTATCTCAAGAACGAATTAAGATATCTTAATGAAACAAAAACCATTTTAAAGCAAATTTAATAAGCATTCAGTGTCTTGAAAATCATATTAATATTGATGTGGTGATTTCTTAAATTCATCTCTGCATGCTTACTTATGATTAATAATACTAATATTGAAAAAATCATAGCTCAAAAAGTAATTGGGATATCAAGATTATTTAAATGTCACTTTATAGCCAATTTGATATAGTTTCGATACACCAAAGATAATTCTTTCGTTCCTATAAATCTCGAAGATGCGTTTTTTTTTAATTAAACATTGCGATTATTGAGGTTAAGTTGATAAAAATGTTATTTAGAATATCGTATCTCAAGAATGAATTGAGATATCTTAATGAAACAGAAACCACAATATAGCAAATTTAATAAGCATTTAATGTGTTGAATATCATTAAATTATTTCTATAAGTTTTGACGTGGCGGTATTTTATATTCATCTCTGCATATCTACTTTTGACAGGCTATGATTGTTAATACTAATTTTAAAGGAATGATATCTCAGAAAGTAATTGGGATATCAAGATCGTTTTGTTACCATTTTAGAGCCAATTTAATCTAGTTTCAATGCACCAAAGATAATTTTTTCGTTCCTATAAATCTTAAAGATACAATTTTTTAAATTAAACGTTGCGATTATTGAGGTTAAGTTGATAAAAATGTTATTTATCATATCGTATCTCAAGAATGAATTGAGATATCTTAATGAAACAAAAACCACAATAAAGCAAATTTAATAAGCATTCAATGTGTTGAATATCATTAAATTGTTTTTATAAGTTTTGACGTGGTGATTTTTTATATCCATCTTTGCACATCTACTTATGACAGTTTATAATTATAAATACCAATTTTGAAAAAATCATATCTCAAAATATTATTAGGATATCAAGATCATTTAGATATCACTTTATAGCAAATTTAATCTAGTTTCAACACACCAAAAATAAATTCTTCGTTCCTATAAATCTCGATGATACGAATTTTTAACTTAAATCCTGCCATTATTAAGGTTATGTTGATATTAATGCATTTTACAACATCGTATCTCAAAAACGAATTACGATATCATAATGAAACATGTGTTGAATATCATTAAATTATTTCTATAAATTTTGACATGGCGATTGTTTATATCCATCTTTGCACATCTACTTATGGCAGGTTATGGTTATAAACAAAAATTTTTAAAATATATCACAAAAAGTAATTGGGATATCAAGATCATTCGAACGTCACTTTATAGCAAATTTAATCTAGTTTTAACACACCAAAAATAAACTTTTCGTTGCTGTAAATCTCGGTGATACGATTTTTTTAATTAAACTCTGTAATTATAGAGGTTAAATTGATAAAACTGCAATTTACAACATCGTATCTCAAGAACGAATTAAGATATCTTAATGAAACAAAAACCACAATAAAGTAAATTTAATAAACATTCAATGTGTTGAATATCATCAAATTATTTCTGTAAATTTTGACGTGGTAATTTTTTAAATTCATTTCTACTTTGACCGGTTATGATTATTAACACCGGTTTTAAAAAAATCATATCTCACAAAGTAATTGAGATATCAACATCATTTGAATGTCACTTTATAGCAAATTTAATCCAGTTTCAACACACCAAAAATAAATCCTTCGTTCCTATAAATCTCGACGATACGATTTTTTAATTTAAATCCTTCCATTATTAAGGTTATGTTGATATTAATACAATTTACAACATCGTATCTCAAAAACGAATTAAGATATCTTAATGAAACAAAAACCATTTTAAAGCAAATTTAATAAGCATTCGATGCCATTAAATTATTTCTATAAATTTTGACGTGGTGATTTTTTATACCCATCTTTGCACATCTACTTGTGACAAGTTATGATTATAAATACCAATTTTGAAAAAAAAAAATCATATCTCAAAAAGTAATTGGGATATCAAGATCATTTGAACGTCATTTTATAGCAAATTTTATCTAATTTCAACACACTAAAAATAAACCCTTCGTTCCTATAAATTTCGGTGATACGATTTTTTTAATTAAACTCTGTAATAAAATTATAGAGGCTAAATTGTTCCATTTACAACATCGTATCTCAAGAACATTCAATGTGTTGAACATTATTAAATTATTTTTATAAATTTTGACGTGTTAGGAAAGATGTTAGGAAAGAAAGTTAAAATCTTATTAAATAAGTACTCCTTAGACTCTCTTCAGTGTCAGGAACTTCGCAAACCATGACAGATTTTCCAACCACACCTAAATAGCTGTGAATTTTGAGTCTGAATTAGGTAATGGAGGTCCTACACTACTCTTAAAAAACTTTTTATTTTAAAACTAAATAGCGTGGTTCAAACAAAACAAACCCCCCCATTTCAATCCATCAATATTTGATGTAACCCAGATGTTTTGTGAGGGTTTTACATTCCCCTCGATGACAAAAGAAGGG